GTATCACCATATGGCTTATGGTGATGCCCTGCATGTTGTTACTCTGGCAGCTACATTGTGTCTCTCAAACCCTGCCTTCTTTCTCTCTGTAACTCCGTTTGGATTTCTCACTTAGCTATATTCATCAACCAATAAAAGCAACACATATCCACAGCATGCAGGAAGACATCCCACATCAAATGGGTATCATGTGTCCAAAATACCACCTACACCAAACTCTTACCTTCCACTTCTTTCTACATTCCTACCAGAATAGTTTCGGGTTTGTCATCATGTAAATCTTGCAGTTTTGCTATGGCTGATGTTCTTTTGCGGTGGTAATGGTGGTGATGCTAGACGCAGGACATGTTAGGCAAGAGCTCTGCCACTGAACTAAATCCCTTGGAGGTTTCTTCAGCCAGAGGGGTGACTACCACAAAGTGCTCTATGCTTTGAAAGTAAACACCTTGTGCCCCCGGGGTATTGTATGTGTAACAGTGGCATTTCTGATCTCGGAGGAAAGTTGACAAAAGATATGGTGGATGGGAGGGGTGGACGGCAGGTGGCACAGGTGGCATTGGTGACACCACTAGTTCCATATTTGGACTGGAGGCATACAGTACTTCTATCTGAGGCTGATTGTTGAAATGAGGTTTATCAATAATTTTATGAAGAGCTAATGGGTCACTTTAGTTCTGTTGCATGTAAAATGGCAAAAAAATAATAAGTAATGTTGAAATCAGAATTATAAATATCACTGTGGCTGTTCTAGAAAATATAATTAGCCTGAACTGTAATTGGAAAAGGAGGGAGCTAATAAATGTATAATTGGATATTTTTGTTTTGTTTTGAACTAGGCTCTTCTATCTAACCCTGGCTGTCTTGGAACTCACTGTGTAGACCAGATTGGCCCTGAACTCACAGAAATCAGCCTGTCTCTGCCTCCTGAGTGCTGGGATTAAAGGCGTGCTATAGCATACTGACAACTTGGCTTATTTGAAGCCTTTCTAGTACCTGTTGACTCCTTTTTATTCTCTTTTATTAAAAACAATTCCTGAAGTAGTGGTGCACTTGGAAGGCGAAAGTGGTGGGTTTCTCTGAGTTCAAGGCCAACCTGGTTTACATTGGTAGTTTCAGGTCAGTTGGGACCAAGTACTGCAACACTCACAAAAAGAAATCGGGGGAGGGGGAAGCTTGGCTAGCACATAGATCACAGCTACTATAGGTAGCTTGAAGAATGCAGGCAAATGTTCCCATTCTTACATTTGCTCCTTTTGAAAGTTAGCTTTGTCGAACTAAATTTAAGTACAATAAAAGTTAAATTTACTTGAGACAGGTACTCACAATATAGTATAAACTGGGCTCAGCCATTCCAGTGCTGGAGTCATAGCAATGCGCTATCACCAAAGTCACAAATTGTAGGTGTGTAGTTAAATGTGTTGTAAGAAGTGCATGAAGTGTTTGAGCTATCATAACTGGGACACAGACCCTTTCCTTTCAGCCCACAACTTCGCTCACACCCTCCCCCTATCAACAGGGCCTGGAACTGTGATCTTTTGTAGTCTAGGGTTACTAGTCTAGAGTGCTAAGTACACAAGATTATAAAATGGCTTTGGTGTTCTGTTTCTCTAAGCATACTGCTAGTAGAGCCCATCCGGGTGTTGTGTGTGTGTCATAGCTTTTCCCATTCTGGCTGGGGTTCTAGGTTCTCTCTGGCAAGATTATCCCACATACTTGATTCATATAGCAAGTAGTAGGCATTTAGGTGGTTTCCAGTTTTCAGCCACCGTGAATATAATTACTAACATTCTTTAACATTATTACTTATTTTCTTATTTATATAATAGGGTTAAGTACCAGCTTTGTTAATTTGACCATCAGTAACTGTGAGAGAACCATAGAGAGAAAACTTACTGGGCAGGGGTGGGGTGCTAGTTGAGCTGTCATCATGAGGTGACCAAGCTACTAAGCTTTTTGCACCTTGATAGCCTTCCTCCTTACAGCTTTTTTCTCACAGAGTATTATGCCACCAACCTATTGTTTATCTTTGTCCAGTTTGAAATCCCTTCTAGAGTCAAGACCCACTAAGCCTTGTTTATTTTCACTAGATACAATGCCGAGTAATGTCTTCCACAAATATAATGATAAATACTTAGTGGGTCCTATGACTTCTTCCTTGGATACCTGAGTGGTTTTTATTAATTCTTTAGGTCCACTATTATATTCTCTCTAGGGTGTTATAAAATAGGTTTCCTAGAGCAAAGATAATTTTATTCCTATCTATGCATTAAAATGATTCACTATGTAACTTATGAGTGGATTTCAAATTGTTTATGGTTCTTGGGGGTTTTAAGTGGATTCGGTCTTGGCTTTGCTGTTGCTCCACTCTAAAATGAAAAGGTTGCATGAAAGAAAATGAGATTTCCTTTCATATCTGATATTTCAAGATTTCATGAGAAGCTGACCTAATCAGAAAGCACTTACAAGGGGAGCAGGCAACAGAGGAGGGCTGGCAGAGAAGGGCAGAAGTAGAAAAACAGCAATGTGCAGTCCTTTATGCCATAGAAAATAGCATGCATACCCTCTCAGGTAGAGTGGTGGTCGTGGCTAGAGGCCTTTTGTACAGCTTTATGAAGAGAACACAGCTGTTTCTGAAGTCACTTCTCAGTGTCACTTACTAGGTGGCTTCTCACTGCTAGCATTTGATCTTGTTTATGTTGGGAACAGTTAGTCCATGCTTGTGTCATGCTTGCTTACACACTTCAGCCTCTGGTCTGGACTCTAGTGTTCAAGCTCAGCCATGGCTCCTCGCTGACAGAATGCAGCAATCTCTGAAGTCAGCAGCTTGACCTGTGTCATGCAATGCTCCTGAGGTTGATATAATTGAGCACTCTGTTCTAACCAGTCTGAGAAAATCTTGCCTGCTCACAAGGGACCCCAGTTTTACTAAATAATTATCCCTCTTTTGACTCTCTCCCCACTCCAACACTCTCCCTTCCCCAGCCCCACAACTTAGACAGGACATAAGAAAAGCCAGTCATTTAACATGCACTGCCCATTTTCCATGTGCAGAGCATGGAGCTGGGCTTAGGGTAACAGAAGCTAAAGATTACAAAGGAGAAAAACATAAAAACCAGTAGCAAATGTATGATACCACTGTAAGATGGACACAGCTCATACTAAGGGCATCCAGGGCTGAATAGTTGACTTAGAAAAGACAGGAGAAAGAAGGGCAGGAGTTTTGAGGTTTTCCCAAGAGGGTTATCATGTAGTGTGCATCATGTAGGGGGTTGGGTGGGTGGACCAGGGCATTCCAAGAAGAGGATGAAACATGTGCAATGATCCTTAGCCAGAAAATACGTGGTGTGAAGGGTGTAGGCAAAAGTAGCCTCGTCTGACTACCCATTTGTTGTGATATACTAGTTTGGAACTGAGTGTGAGACAAGACCTTGGACCACATCCAGGGGGGTGTTGTTGTTAGAAGTACCAGAAGGGACCTTATTTCACATTTAGCATGGACCCCTGATGATTCCATTTGAGTGAGGTGTGGGTGTATTTTCATTCTGGGGCTTTACACTACAACATTACCACATGCATTGACCAATCTCAGTACAGGCTTTCCTTATGTTGCCGTATAATTAGAAGCCAGTGAATTGAAGTTCCACAGCGGTACATAGACTGGTAGTGATAGCTTTATGGAATTGTTTATTTTTAGTTTGGCAAAGGCTAGGCAGTAAATATCTCAATTAGTAAACTAAAGCAGCATGGATGAGAAATGCCCACAAGGAGATCAGGAGTTTGAAATAACTGAGTCACTTAATTGAAGGAAACCCTCACGTTGCTTCTCATAGAGCTTGAGGAACCCACCCAGCAATGGTTTCAAATGTGATTTGCAACATGCATACAGTGTTGGTGCAACAAGGGCCTTGCCCTTGCCCAGGCTGGACTTGTTTAGGGAGTTCTTCTCTGGATTGGGATGTAGCTAAGTGGGTAGAGTGCATGACTGACATGCAGCAAACCCTGGGGTCAGTGCCCAGACCTCACACAGCTGGGAACCATGGTGCGTGTGTATAATCCCGCACTCATCAGTCCAAGGAATTCCTCAGCTACAGGGCAAGTTGGAGGCTACCCTGCCTACCTGAGACCAGTCTCAACACAACAGCAAAAGGAAGTTATCTTTCAAAGAGGGCCACTGGTAGGATGTTGTCTTCATCCTACAATCCTGTCAGCATGACCCCCAAGGGACATTTTATTACAAAATGTCCCAATACAGATTGCATCCTGACATATGAATGTGAATGAATTAATGAAAGCAGGCACTCAGTGCTGGCCTCTCCTCTCAGGTCTCCTCCAGTAAAATTGAAGTTATACCTTACATTTCAGAACAAAATCAGAAGTAGTCTACAAGATGTAGCTTTAAAATAAATTTTGCTTAAACTAAGAACTAAGTCATATTCTCCCTAGAATTTCACAGTCTTAGGAAATAGTGACCATTCAGAAGATGAAAGATTAATAATACTACAAGACAGAAAGAATAGAACAATGACAACAACAAAAAAAGTATGTGTGCTCTGAAGGTGCAAAATACAAGGCTGGCAGGTAAAAGTGCTTATAAAGAAATGTCCTAAGGGCCTGAGTCCTCAGGGCCCACATGCCTAAAGGAGAAAACTAGAAAACCAACTCCCACAAGGTGTCCTCTGACCCTTGCACCTGCACACACACACACACACACACACACACACACACACACACACACACAGGTTACAAAATACAAGTGTTTAGTTGTTACGTTTTTGTTTGAGTTTTTAAAGCTTCACCCTTTAGTCTGTCTGTACCTCTGGCATGAACACTACACTGTACAGTCCTTTGGATTGTCTGTCTTCAGCAGAGTGGGGAGACTACAGTAAGATTAGCTTTTGCTGCTTTAGTTTACTACCTGTCTGATGTCTGTGGTCTGTGGGGGAATGATCAAGGTCTGTGCACCTGCCGATTATGTCTCTCTCTGTTTCTCTGTTCTGCAGACTGGAAAAAGATAGCATTCAGCAAAGCCTCAGCAACGAAGCAAAGGCCCAAGCCCTTCAGGCCCAGCAGAGAGAGCAGGAGCTGACACAGAAGATACAGCAAATGGAAGCCCAGCATGACAAAACTGGTGGGTGGTAGGGAGAGATTAGAGCCTGGGCCCTTGCTCACAAGCCGGGCCCACGCCTTACTGTGAAATGACATCAGGAACACCTGTAACCTTTGGCTGGCCGAAGGGAGCAGATGCTAACTACACCGGAGATTCCGAATTACATATTAGTTAGCGTTTAAAAGAGAAAATGGAAAGTATTGCCCACTGTCTGTTGATTTCAGAGTGCTGCTCTCACATCTGCTGCACCATCTGGATTATGAGTTTATTTACCTGTGTTCAAGAAACGTAAAGCTGAGAGAGACCACAACAAAGTAGAAAAACAAAGGGCTTGTTTTTGGCTGCGTTTTCAGGCACACATGTTATATAAAGAAAATAGCATCAGAAGCTCTGCGGGAAATGCTCTGAGCTTACAGTTAGAGTCTCCTGAATAGCATTGAACAGTTCCCACAGTACACACATTATAGCTACTCTAAAAGCCTAATGAGTTTGCTTCAGCATCCAAACTGGAGAAAAGCTTTAGCCATTAATCGGTTCTTAATTCACTGTCGCAGCTGGATGTAATTCAGTGGCTCCAAATTGATATGTTCCTTTATTTAATCTTTGCAGCTTCGAACATTTTTAGCATTTGTATGATTTCCCCACCTCCCCCAATGCAGTCGAGAGTGATGCTTAATCCTCTGCATTCTTGAGCTTCTCATAACTGCTGTTAAAATTCACTAATACAAGGCATTGACCACAGCTGGCAGCTTGGCTAAAAATCGCCATCTTTCATCACGTTGGCACTGCTCTGCAGACTGAGTTGGCCAGTAACTCTTTACCTTTAATTTGAAAGTAAAATGCACTTTGAAAATAGGCAGTTTGATGTGTGCAGTCAGAGCGTTATGTAGTTCTTTCGCTTTTGAGTTGTGTGTTCACAGACAGTGTTAGTCAAAACAAGACAGTGTCAGTCATTATAATTCCACACCACATACTCCACGCTGATTGTACCATTAAAACAAAAGTTTAATTGATCCTGTCTCCTCCAGAAAAAAAAAAAATGTTGCTTAATTTTAGTGCCTTGATTTATTTTGCTTTGTATGCTATATGCTTCCCCCCCCCCAACCATTAGCTGAGAAGGAAAAAATTACTTACAGATGAATTTCACAGAGTTTAATGTGTATTATTTTAATTGTATGGTAGAAAACCATTCTATCTATTGGTAACAAATGGACACTGTTCGTTAATGATTTATTTACTTTGTAAATGATTTAATTACTTACAAAGGCAGCTACCACGATGCCTCATAGTTTCTTCTCAGTATTTAACCAGAAGAAATGAAAATTCCCCCAGATTTTTTTTTGTTTTTTGTTTTTTTTTTTTTTTTTAAACTAAAGCACAAAGAGGAATGCATAGGAGAAATTCTCATTTGGGCCCACTGCTAACAATCATCCTGGTCCAAGAGTCTTGGGCAGAATTTGAGGGTTGGTAAGGTCTTAACTGTTAAAAATCATCTTTAAAATCTTTTATTTGGCAAATATACACACTAGTCACAGTCTCTCCAGTCCCTGGTTGTAACTTTATTGAAACACATACCATTAAAGTACAATCAAGATTTTAAGGACAGTTATGTAATTTCAGCTCAAAAACTGGAGAATATGCAGGCTCCAAGGGGGTAAAATAGGAGATAAGTGTTGAGCACCAACTACAGTATAACAGGGAATTCCTCGGTTTTTGTTTCGAATTATCTGGTTGTGAGAATTTTTGACATTGTTTATAGTAAAATTGTCAAAATAAAAATACAATATCTTGCATACTTCAAAGATATAAGCATTTATGACTTCCTTTGAGATATTTGACAGTTTATGAGCATGCTAAAATGTTACACAAGCTGATACGATCAAAATTATTCTGGGTATACAAATATATTATGAAAATAAATGTCTCCCACCAGATGATAAGTCCTTTCACTAGGACACTGGCAGTGTCTGGTGGCTCTAGGCAGGGTGCAATGATCTGAAGCTCTTAGCACTGGGCATTGGAAACACCGCAAAACCACAAACATCTTACATTGGTGGGGTTATTGTTATTTCTAGAAAATGAACAGTATTTGTTGCTGACCTCCCAGAATACGTTTCTGACAAAGCTAAAGGAAGAGTGCTGTACGTTGGCCAAGAAGCTGGAGAAAATGTCACAGAAAAGCAGGTAGGTGACCAGGCAATATTATACAATATGCTCAGAATAGTGTTTATTTGATAGCTAAAATTTAGCCTTAAAATTTCATTTTTTATATTCTGTAATGTATATGCTGTAAACTTTCTGTAAATTTTCTGTGACAACAGGTTTCTGTATTCATATTTTCGCAGCTGTCCATGTAGACCCCCTTTCAGTCCCAAGCATGGCCTCCAGGGCCTTGTGCACAGTAACCAAGCACTCTTTCCCAAGCTCCACCTCCTACCCAACTTCAACTTTTTTTCATGGTTATGTATACTTGCTTGGCTTTTTATAATGTTTAGAATTTAAAACCGTGAAAGTTCAGGAACAAAGGCCAAAATAACCATTACCATAATAAAGAATACAGATAGGTCAAGCAGTTTTAGAATCTTATGTCAATATAGGTAATGCATTTTAATGTGTTGTCACAGTTCTTTGGGAACACACAAAAGCTGTCTTTAATGCTAATCATTCGGGACATTGAGGAGGCAAAGGTGCATGGAATAATACATGCTGAACTCTCACAAGAGCATTAAGACAGTAATTAACTTCCTTTACAGATTTAAAAAGCGTAATTGAGTAGCTTGTGGGTAGGAGTTTTGGCCTAGGTATTGCTGTTACCAGTGTCTAGAGTGTTTAAGTCTTTGGTGATATTTGAATGTACTATTACAGAAAGTTCAGGATTGCTGGATAGAGTGACTTGCATCTGCAGTCGCAACCACTCAAGGCTAAGGCAGGAGCATTTCTTGAGCACAGGAGTTCTAGGCCAGCCTAGGCAAGGTGATGAGAGGATTGCTCAGTCACAGTATTAATTATTGGGAAGGCTATAGGAAAAAATAACCTTTAAATCCCGGAGGAAAGTAGAAATTCTTGGGATGTATTTGTCAAACTGAGAGCCAGGGCTAAACCGGCACTGTGTCCCTGGGCTCCTGTTTTCCTTCTTTAAATTAATCAGTCATACCCGGTGCAAGACTCATGGACTTGAACGTCAGCACCTGTCAGCCTGGATGCTGCTTTGTACACTGATCATGCTCCCTCATATCTGACACATAGATGGCACCCAATGCATACTTATTGAATGAATGATAAATGAATGGAAAAAACAGGTGTGGTGCTACCCTCCACATGCTGGTCTGGTTTCTGGTGCCAGCCTATTCCTTTGTGGGTGACAAGCAGTATGCAAGAAAGAATTCTTTGGGATTCAGGAGGAACTGGACTGGAGTCTTGGTTTGTCAGTCACTGCGCTGTGTGTGTAATCTTGACTGGGTACTGTCACCCCTGGACAAACACAGGGTGTTGGTTATAGAGTTGATACCGTACCAAAATCCACAGATCACAGATGCTCACATTCTTAACATAAAATGATGTAGCAGGTACACGGAACCTGCCTATATTCTCCCACATACTTTATTTTTCATGTTATTTCATATTTTTGTGGTGTTAGAAATGGAACCCATTGCCTAACACATGTTAGGCTAGTAGTCCAGCACTGAGCAACACCCTCTCCCCTCTCTCATATATTTGAAATTATCTCTAGATTACCTATGGAGCCTAATCTAATGCAAATAGTTATGTGATTACTTGTTAGACTATACTGGGTACAAAATCACCACAGGACAACGCGAGTGCTCAGTACAGACCCAGCCTTTCCATCTGTGGTTGTCTGAGCTGCGAAAGAACCTGCAGCTGTGAGCCCCCGGCCCAGTGCTTGCTCACCCCATTTGAAGGTACAGGGACTGCGGTCGTAGCACACACTTCATGACTGGGCAAGATCTGAGTAATGTTTTCTAATGGGCCAAGTCTGTCTTGTGATGAAAATACCTGTAGGCTCAAACAACCAACCAGGAAACCTGGAGCTCATGACTTCGTGGGTCAGGTTCTTTTGACTCTAGGTTCTGAGTCTGAAGGATTAAAATGTAAGTAACCCAGGAAGCTAAGGCCTTACAAGTAATGAAATTGTTCCATTTTGAAACTTTTTATGTACTTCTCAAAACAGTAGACAAAATAAGTTGTGCTTTTAAGGTCATGTGTTTGATGCCCTTTGTTTTCTCATCAGTCCCCACATTTCTCCCCCAATTTCAAAGGAATTAAGACATGTTCACTTTCTTTTATGCCCCGTTTGACATTCCCTTTTGATGTTACCTTCTGCTGTGACTCAGAATGTTTCTTTTAAAATAGCAATAATAATGTAGTAAGACCTGTCACTTGAGGGCATGCTTCTATGAGCCCTGTGCCAAACTTTTGGGATGAATAACTTCTGACAGCCATTGAGGTGAGGGTCTCTCTCATTGAGAATAATTAAACCAGAATAATGGTCTAATCCAGATAGTATTTCAGTTCCAGTTTTTCGCAAAGTACTGTAGTAAAAATTTTAATGAAAATGAAGCAATTTTTTTATTATCAATAAAATAATATTTCCCCCTTACCTTGCTAAAATTTTGTGTCATTCACAATGCCACACTAAACAATTGGCCTCAGAATTGAAAATAGGCTTTTTCACTTACAGGTCTAGGAATTTGACTAGAGCCCATGAGGAACCAGTAGAGAAGCTGACCGTCTGGGCTCTCCATGCCCATACATCCTACTTCTCTGTCCAGTCTCCTACAGGGCTGCTCTCAGAAAATGTACTGAAATTGTGTGTGTGTGTGTGTGTGTGTGTGTGTGTGTGTGTGCACGTGTGTGTGTGTGTGGGGGGGTGCGCGCATGCATGCATGCATGTGCGTGATGTGATACATTTTCTCCCCAAGTAAACTGTACATCGCATTATGACAATGACAACTGTTTCTGTCTCGGGATCCTCTGTAGCCATCAGTCCCGTGCATGAAACCGCAGGAGTGGTGAATGCCATGTCCCATTTAAAATGAAGACTGAAATCCTGGCTCATACTTTAATCTTTTAAAGCTTGTTTTTGACCGTGAGGCAAGGAAATTAATTCTATTTTGTTTTTAATTGTCACCAGTCAGACATTCTGGCTGGTTTTAGTTAAGTATAAACTTTAGCTACCCCTTCCCTCCATATCTCCCCTAGTACATTGAGAACTTCCATAGTTATGAGTCTGTTGAGTTAGGTAAATATATACACTTAAATACCTTTCATGCAATTTAGTTTTCTTTATCAAAGTGAAGTAAGTATTCTCTCTCCCTAGACACTTGGAAAAATCCACATTAAAATGTTAGAGGCACGGTTTGAATTATGATCAAAATCGTTGTCTGGGAAGATCTAGACAGTGTTGGGCTCTGGCTGAAGATGAGCCTGTGCCCACACTGACAGAGCCCTTCCATGTTAGAGATCAAGCACATTTTGTTCTAGGTCCCAACCCCTCTCTCCTTGCACGCTGGAAGGATAGGAGCAAGCACAGGACTGGGTCTGTGTGATTTTGCTTCTCCCCATTTTCCTGTCATTGTCACTTGCTGGGTTGCTAGGCCTGTGGATTGATGTCTAGCACTGCCCATTGTGTATTTGTGATTTGCGTTTTGTAATTAAGAGGAACAATGGGAGTCCGTGGGGTCTCGTTATATATAATGGTTGGTTTAATTTGTTTCACTTCTATCTTGTTAATTGTAAATTGATCATTAAGATTTGAATTCTAATCTGTCACCAGGGTTGTGAGTATTGAGGCTCGAGTAATGATCCTGGTTTTAATCACTGATGATGAGAAACAAATTTTATAATTTTGGTACATATTGCAGTTCATATATTTTAACAGTGTATTTTATGGTGTTATAAATATTGTTAAATGACTTTTAGTGTAGTTTTACTATGTGGACTATAATGTATAAATTATATTACTGTTTTGGCAGCAGTAGGTATCCAACTGTGTGAGTTTAATTGAAGTAAAAGAACACACACCCGGTTGAACTATGTTTTTTTTCTCCTTGCATGTTTAGATGATGTTAGGTTGGGCTGCTACAAAAATTATATTCTACAAAAGGTGACTGACATTGACCTTCTGTTAATTGTTACCAAAAGTCAAACCAGAATCCAAAAGAATAAAAAAAAAGGTGTCATATTTTTCATTTAAAAGCAATTATCATTATAATCTGAATTATAGTAGTAAAATGTCTTCCATTCATGCAAATGCAATTACACTCGCTATAGCTGTTACATAAAAAGCAGGGAAAGTTCATGCTTCTGAAAAGCCAGAAATTACCTACATTTCTATGAAAATGAATTAGAGTCGTTTTCCTTTGATATGTGAGTAGGGTAAATGTGGCTTTCTGTTTTCTCTTTTCACTTAGCAAACCACTAGTTGTGTGACTATATTGTCAGCTCTGCCTAAATAAAGAACGATGTATGTACACATATAGCGAAGCTGTATATTGTATGACATAAGCTGGAAGGCAAGTTGACATTATAAATAAGTGGGGGGGGACAAAGTATACAAGGCAGGAAAGATTGTTACAATAGCACATATTATAGTAGTCTGTACTTTAAAAGATAACATTTATATTTTTGTGTTTACTAGAGACATCTCATTATAGGGAATCACAAAAAAAAATTAAGGAAACATTTTCCTGTAACATTACTATCTCAAGAAAATCCCTGCTATTTTTTACATGCTCCTGGCCATTTTTCATGTGTATGTAAATGTGTCTTGCACAGCAGCTTATGTCATGATAGGTTTATGCAGTATGTGCAGTTACAGCTGCTGTCTACCTATCTCATCTCATTAATGGACATGTTTCTCTGTCAGTGAATATGCCACAAACAAAATTGTAATCAAAACACTTGTTCATATTCATTAGATGTTTATGACATTTCCAACTTTTAATATTGTAGTAATACTATAACTGTAACTTTGTACATAATTAAATGTTGATGGTTCTTTTAAAAGGGAATTGTTGCTTCAAAAATCAGACACACTTTTCAAGGCTGCTAATGTGTATTATTTTGCTTAAGTGTTGAATTACCTCGTCTCAGTACAAATGTCCACATATAAAAATATGAACGCAAAAAATGAAGGGTTCAAAGAAGAGAGGATGAACATGAGCATTGCACTGTGGGTAGAACTGCCCCTTCAGAGCTGGGCACATAGAGAAGAGACCCCATACAGGACTGGCCACTCCCCATTGCTGACCTTAGACAACTGGTTAAACTGCATGTTTCCCTCACAGAGAAAGGGAATTAACAATTATTTTCTAGAGTTTTGACATCTTCAAAAGATAGGTTTGATGCAGAATAGGGATGAAATACACATTTGACTCTTCTTACTCATTTCTGAAAATAGTAGTAAAATTGACCATTTTATAAATAACATTTCGTGTTCTACTTTCTAAGAGAAATTGTCTTCATTTCTTCATTTCTTCTATTTTTGTAACTTTGTTGGTTGCAGCACTTTAATGGTACTTTTAACCCTCATCTGTCTGATTTTCATGAATTTTTTTTTTTTTTTTTGTTACTAAACTTTTTAAGGGCAGTTTAGGCTCCCTAGTAAAATCAAACAGCAAGGCCACCGTCCTGAAAATGCACAGCGTCATCAGGACCCTTCCCCCCTCCCTCCTCCACCCCCTCTCCCATCCTTCCTGGCTTTCACCAGAAACACTATCCATTGTAAAACGTGTTCAAATACAGGAAAATGTGCTCATACAAAAGGGAAAACACTCTACCATCCAGAATTATCAGTATTAATATTTGGTTCATGCCCAAATAACTTAATTGTAAAATGGGGTTGCATTATACATGTTGATTTTTTAATGTTTCCCTTCTTATCAAAATTTTACATTTTGGGTCAATAAATAAGTTCTAGCATCTAAGCAAGATAGCCAATGTCCTATTGATACAATTCTTGATAAAGTTTCAATGTATCCTGTCATAGAACAAGATTCTCTCTATAAGTAATGCTACAATGAATATAAACAAACATATGGCTTTCCAAACATGATTTTTTTTTATATGTGAGCATTTTACATTTTGATTATTGTCTATCTTTCTTTGTGCTTTTCTTTGAAAAATGGCACCTCTCTTGGTAGCAGCCTGAAGGTGTAGGTGTGGGTTCTTTTCCATAGATTTTATTATTTTGCTAATCTGGTTTAAGGGACTTTTTTCCATTTGGGATGTATTTCAATATATGACAGGAGATACTATTTTGGGAAGAAACACTAAATTCAAATATTATTATAGCTTCTAGATTACTTTTTGTATGTGTGTGATTTTGAATGGATAGACATGAGTCATTTATTCAGAGATGTAGACTGTTTCAAATGCGGGTGTATTCTTAGCAGGAGAGGAAAATACAGAGAGAGTACCTAGCTCAGCTTAAAAAAAAAATGAGCTATACATACTCTGTCTTACCTGACAACTGGTGGGAAAGGTGAGGCATAGGGCACCGTTCAGGAGTACAAACTCTACGGAAATGTCTGGATGGACAGAGGTGGTTTTAAGGCCACACTGAGTTGTGGAAGGTGAAGGTACTGATGTGAGCAGGCTCCATCTAGTGTGCACTTGAGTAAAAATGAAAACAAAGGGAGGAGTGGGGTAAACTGACATTGCCTCATTCTTGCTAGCATGTGGTCTTTGGGTTGAACAGTCTGTGGGGTAAGATTTCCCCTAGCAAGCCCAGTCTTCTTGACTATAACAAAAGGGGGCCTGACATAATAGAGCAGTCCTTTCTGGGGAGGGAACTAATTTTTCATCAAAAGTGTTTTTGATTAGCTTAAAAATTACTTATAATATAGAGAAAAAGTGTGACTTCTCTAACTAATGAGACAGTAGGCATGAGGAAATGCCGTCAATGCTGGTGGCTTAGTGTAAAAAGGGACACAATGTTCCTTAGATATCTTTCCGATCTGCAAATGTTAGAATTGGGATTGTCATCCAAGACACTGAAGATATAGAAGATATAGTCCTAAAAGACATCAGCTGTCACCATGGAGGCATCTGTGGATTTTGGTCTCAGTGCTGGTCATCCTCCACTCCTGTTACAGCAGTCTAGGAGCGGGGCAGAAACGGAATGAAGACCATATTTTTCTGAATATAGACTTCCATGGTCGGGCCAGTTCCCCCAGTATAACTAGAGCTCTTGCTTGAGCTCTGAGATCTCTGCAGTACTGTAACTGGAGTCCCTATGATGTACATATTCCTCTACTAGGCATTGTGAATATCTGAAATATTTTTTTGATATAAAATAATTCTTCCTTCACTATTATGTCTGAAGTCCCGGGTTTAAGACAGTGCCAAGGTTTATACCATGAAAATACACTCTAGTAAGGTGAATCTTTACCCATTTACTGTTTCTGTTTATACCCTCTCTAGGTCAGAAATTGTTCGACTCAGTCAAGAGAAGAGATATATGTGTGATAAGCTGGAGAAGATACAGAAGAGAAATGATGAATTGCAGGAACAGTGCATCCAGCACGGGAGAGTACATGAGACGATGAAGGAAAGGTAATGTGCGTCTGCTGATCCAGAATGGGTCAGATACACACTGAATGTGTCAGAGTCACAGACAGGAGAGTTCCTGTGGAATAAGTAGACGTTAAGATTGTTAAGTTAACCAGATATATGCTCAACACATAATGCTTGTCTAAACAAGTCAGCCAGCATGTGTGGGCTCCGTGCTGTTACCTACACACTGGTGCTGATGATGCTTTCATCATAAGATGGAGTAAGCCATTGGCTCATAGGAGCCTCCTAATAGGTACCATCCGTGGTGACTACTACTCTTCTTTTCTAGAGACAAAATCTCGGTTCACAGGGAGTCACATATGGAACACATGGTAGAGGTCAAACTCAAATCTTGAGTGATTGATTCCAAATTCCTTTTCCCTTTTGTGTAGTATTTGGTTGGTGTTTTATTTGTTGTGACAAGTATTACCCCTTTTATGGATATGCCATTTCTAAACTCTGGTCATAGAATCGCCCCAAGAATAAAATCTATGTATTTTGATGCAACAGTGAATAGATTGCTGTAGACTTGGAGTTGTGTACTGAATAACTACCAGCTTTCTCATGGAGATGGCTTCATGGCTTCCAAGCTCCCATCTCTCCTCCATCCTCCAGTGACCAGTGCCTTTTCTGTTTTTATTGATGTAATTAGGGGAAAGTGGAAATGTATATCAATTGCACTTTCTTAAACTTAAAGGTAAACAGCATTGGGGAATACAGTGGTACCTATATGTTGATACTTTGATGACTTGCTATAAGTAGAGGGAGAACAGCCTGAAGGAGGACTGCCTTCCTGTAACAGTGTGTTACAGTACAGGGAGACCTGCAAGGAATTAGTCATTCCTTCATTAACTCATAGGATATTTACCTAAACCCAGATATTGTTCTATGTTAGAAGTCAGCAAGCTTTAGGTTTTTCTGTAAGGTTCAAGGAGTAAATATTTTAGCCTTTACAAGCTACATTTGTGTGTGTGTTTTACACTGGCATATTGCTTTTTAATTCATAAAATGCACTTATGTTCACTGTTTGATATGCCTTGAGGCAAACCTGGAAAGGAGTTGCTATTGTCACTTTATTTCCAGATGGAAAACTAAAGCCTAGAGAGGGAAACATGCCAACTGGAGGTCAGAGAGCAAATGAATGATTGGTCTCTTCAACAAATATTTATTGATTACCACAATGTGTCGTGTACTACGAGGTAGCCATCAGATGCTAAGAATAAATCAGCAAAGCAGATATGGCGCTCCCTCTTGTGGAATTTGCATGATTTTGGGGAAACTGAACTTGGGAACTAGGTCTAGGCTGGATATAGAAATTTCCTTTGGCCAGTGGAGAATATCTGAAACCTTTAGTGATAAATATGTCATTATATTTAGTAAGAAGGAAGGAAGGGCCACTGAGCCTCAAGAGTAACCACTCTTCCAAAGATAAGCCTAAAAACCAACAAAAGAGGTTGCCATGAAGCAACCTGAGCAATACATGGAAAGGAATGTTATTCATTCCAATGATAAAACTGCCTTGGGAAAGAGGAATCATTCAATTAGATGGTAGCCACACAATAAAACAGAATAATACATCTGTTGTCCTTGGTAATGTGCACATCACCAGCTAAGTTAGCAAGAGCCATTTTGGATGGAGAATAGGTACAGACTGTAGATTAAAGTGGGTTGGAAGAGTGATTTGAAAATCTGAACTAGCCATTTACCACTTTTTCATGAAATGAGACATAAGAAAATACAGAAAGCAAGACCAGCCAGCTAATAGTGGGGCATGTACATTTTAGAGCAAAGAGGTTTTTGCCTTAAGTTAGGGTAGATGTAAATGCATTGGATATTATTATTGTAAAGTCCAACAAAGTTTCAGTGAACAAGAAAGAAAATTAGATTTTCCTGTTGAGTGAACATAATCTTAGAACTCCATGTTAAAATAATGACTGTTTTCTTCTGTTTTAAAATGAGCACCTAGTCACGTGTTCCTCTTGAAAATAAGCAGTATGCAAACCCCTCCATATGCAGAAGGATTCAGGCAGTCAGTAGAGTTCTGCTCCGCCCTGTGCTCTCTCTCACTTTCTCCAGCCCCAGCAGCCCTGCTGTGCTGGCGGTGGGACCGTACTGTGCCACTTTCCCTCCGGATAACTGAGCAGTTTGTTTGATCAGTGTGCCTAAGGCCACGGAAGCTTCTGATTGAAACATGCAAGCTAGTGATGAGTTTAAACTTGGTGGTAATTCTGTAAACTCAGGGATCATCTCTGAAATCCCCACATTCTGTTTTGATAATGGAAACTTTATTCAAAAGCTACTGTTCAAAATAGAAAATATATTATTGGACTTTATATAATGCAACATTTTGATTTTGTAGAATTAAAACTATTCATAATTTTCCAAGAAGTACTTAGAATCTAAACATGAAATTATTATCTATATCCCATCGTTCTCATACAAAAGAGGAATGCTACAAAAGTATCAGGTTATACATTCAGAAAATAAGAATTCCAGAAAAATATGCAGCTATTTTAATTTTTTTGATTCTATAATATGAATTTAGTTTAAATTTGACATTTTAGAGTATATTTTGGGGCTAAAATGTATTTATGTTATTGACCAATCATCCTTTTTTAAACATTAGGTGATATATATATATATATATATATCTATATATATATATATATCACCATATATATATATATATATATGAACTAGTGACATTATTTATGAGATAGGAAATTTTAATATAAATCTTCACATTTATGACTATTTTAAATGAAATTCTTTTACTTGAAAGTTGTCTGTTTGTGGTATCATGCCATAATAAGGGAATGCTTTAGCAATCCCTAGGGGAATTCTAAAGCTATGTTTCTATGAAAAAGGTTTGCAAGTCGAGAGAAACCTGAGGATGCTGAGTTAGGAAAAGAGGCAAGTTTTTGAAGATTCTGAGAATAGACAGGTGTCAAAACACTAAAATTAAGCGGGAGTTAACCTTGGGCTGTGGGAGCCACCTCCGGAGCCCTGCAGCTGCAGGACAGTCTGATGGTTTCAGGGTTGTGGTGAAAGTGAGGTGGGCCAAGGCCAGATCTGTTTATACTGTGCTTAGTGGGGGGATCTTGTCCATCCTGTACCCTGTTCACCGGTGATTCAGGAGTATGATGAGCCTACTGTGATCACTGCCATGGCTACAGAGCATCCTCTGTACTTGGACTGGGGTGCTAGCCAGCTCTCCATCACTGTAACAAGTGTCTAAAACAATCACTTTATAAGAAGAAATGGTATGTTTTTTGGCTCAAAGTGTTAAGGATTTCTGTCCAAAATCAGCTGATCCTGTTGCTTTGGGCCTGTGGTGATACAGTGGTAGTTGAGAGGTGCTTGACAGAGAAAGCTGCTTACCCCAGGGTGGGTCTTTCCAGTAAGCTTTTCATCCTTGTGACGAGATTCCTGAAATACAATTTAAAAGAGAAAAAAGCTTATTTTGGGTCATGGTTTTGGAAACTTCAGACTGTCTTTGGCTGGTCCCATTGCTTTGGGGACTGAAGGAAATCTGGCTAGCATGAGAGAGCATGACTGAGCAGAGCTGTTCATCACTTGAGGCTCAAAGAATAGGGAAGGCCAGAGCCTGAGGCAGAATTTAGCCTTCAACGACATACTCCTCAGTAGCCTACTTCCTATAAAGAGACCCCCACCCCCAAGTAGTCTGGTAAGCTATGTACTAATCTGTTGATGATGTTTGCCATCTTATCATCCTGTCACCTCTCAATAGCACAGCCAACTAGTCATCAAGCCTTCAACACACGAGATCTGAGATCCTTTCTTATCTAAATTACAACAATGAAGAAAAGGAGATGACAAGGAAAGGGATGCTGGGGATCCACTGCCTTCTTCATGGGCATGTCCCCTGTGGCCTAAAGACTTTTCAGTAGTAGACCCCATTTCACCGAGTGTCAGTCTGAGAATTAAGACTTTTAACACATATCCAAGCAGAATTGCTAATTGAGGCATTGTGAGTCCACAATGGTGCATAGCCATGGCACAACTCACTGTCTCCTATGAGGTCACTCTGGACTGCTCTACAAACCATAGAGAGGAGGTGAAATGGTCCCCAGAGGACTGGCCTCCATTTGCCACCTGGGACGAGGCCACTCTGCTCTCTGTGATTTATATAACCCAAAAGTCTTTAATGTTAAGTTTGGGCCACAAGGGTTAAAATATTGTCCCTATTCCCAAGATACCTTCTTGATTTAGGCCTTCTAATGTAGAGGAGTCACCCACCACAAGTGTACCTTACAGGGTGGTGATGAGCAGATGACAGAAATGAAACTCTAGGTTTTTCTCATCAGTTCTTATATACACTCTAAAAGACTTTTAAGTGTTTTAAAGAGTCTGAGAATTGTTTCTTGTAAGCCAAACTAACTTACTGAGAATGCCACTTTGATAACTACTGGCAATTACCCTTTCCCTTACAGACCTCCAGGGTTACAAAACAAGCTCTGCTCATTTGACTTGCTGTCATCTGTAAGGAAGGACTTTAGGGTACTATTCATTATCAAGGTTGTGCTGAGATCATTTTGGTTTTTGTGTTCCTTTCTTGCTTTTAATTAAAGACTTAGCCTTATTATGATAGTTGTTTGCTTTGGGTTGTTTTATTTACCCATTGAAGTACAGCAATGTACACTTGGCCTTCTCGGTGACTCCATTTCAGTGCTGAGGAGATGGCTGAGTGGGCAGAAGGCACTGCAATTCAAGGGTGAGAGCCTGAATTGGACTCCTTGAAATCCACGTAAAAGTCAGACAGTGTGAGAATCCCAGGAGTCCTGCCATGGGGAGATGGGGACAGAGACAGAAGCCTGGAAGCTCTTGGCTGGCTAATCTAGAGCAGTGCCAAAACACAAGAGCTCCTGTGCCAATACAGGGTTGTCCTCTGACCTCCGTATACACACCATACATGAATGTCCTATCCACACATGTGAATGTACCTGCACATGCACATACACACACACACACACACACAC